CGGGATTCTTACTTTTGACGGCCTCCAGCCGCTCGACAATCACTTTACGTTGGTTGCCTTCCATGCCCTCTGCGGCTGCATATCCGAGATCTCCTTCGAGATCGTCGCTGCTCCAGAGCAGGTGCGCTTGGCCGCGATTACTGGAGATGGAGCTGTGTTTCTGGTGTCGGTGACCTGGCCGAGGTGGGAGCGTGGCCCAGCTGCGTTCCAAGTCTCTACCATGACTCAGCTCGTCAATACTGTCGCGGCCATACCGGTCGTCCATGGTGACTGGGCTACCCGAGAGTGCCCTGCCATGGCCGGACGCGGAACCGCGGCCTCTGGACAGTTCAAACCGGTTGGGGTTTGGCAGTTCATTCGGAGGGGAACTGAGTCCAAGCAGATCGACCTCGGGACCTGTACCCAAGGACATCGAGGCACCAATATCCATTTCCTCGTTGTCGAGATCATACGTGCTATGTTTGTCGTAATTTTCGTAGCTCTTCACTTTGCGTCTCTGAGCCTCCGTGGAGGGGCCGCGGAGGGGGATAGCAACCGGCACATCCACAAGATCATCCCAGACACAGACGCGCGTTCTTCTCGTCAATTCAAGTGGGCCATGGTCGGGATGCTTCAGAGTCTCCACCACATTCCATGCCTGGCCTTTCATGACTGCAATCTGTCTCGCAAACATGCTCTCCTTGAAATCATCGTCTTGTGAGAACACACGGCGCAAAGCCATCTGTGTGCCGCTCCACCAGGCAGTAGAGGTTAGAAGCGGTAGGAAATGGTCACGGGTCTTCTGCGAAAACGGTTGGCCGATCAAAGATACGGGCAGAAACAACCAGCCGAATGGGAAACTCCGCCACTGAGAGATATTAGCACGAGCCATGCAGATTGTAATCTTCGTCATTCAACTTACCGCATCGGGATGTTTCCATGGCCACGAGAGACTGTTATCGATGGCACCAATTTGGATGGTTGCATAAGGTTCGGTTGCGTTCAAGGGAGTCCCTGTGCGACTCACGGCAAGCATGGACTCATGCCTCCGGTAGGGATGAGGCGCAGTTGTCGCTCCGTCGGAATTGACTGCTACCGGGCGCGCAGGGGGCAAGTCATCGTCATCATTTTCTTGCCGCTGCTGCTGCGCGCCATTGGGTTTCGGCGGATCAGCGACAATGGAGACTTCCTCGGTTTTCCAATCGATCTTAATCATCCAATTGTCGAGACCTCGGTCCGTGTTGCGCATGATGTAGTCCAGGATCACGAGCTTCTCCAGCTCTTCCCTGAACGACTGCTTCAGGCTTTCCGTCCAGTAGAACCGCCGCTCTCTGCTTTCCTCACGCGGTGACGGAGTTTGCGTCTGACCGTCGTGGTACGCTTCTTCGTCTTCATCGTCCGAGTGTATTCCAGAAGGGCGACATGCTTCATTCCACGGACGCTTCTTTCGCTTGGGAGCATCTTCTGCTCTGAATCCGGTATTGGTTTGATCGGGCCAAGGATGGTCGCGTAGGAAGAGGTTTGCATCCTTGTAGCCTTTGAGGAAGACCTGGAAGCTACCCGCCTTGGGCGGGAGGGACTTCTTGCCCATCCAAGCTTTTCTGCGGTCCCAAAAGTCGTAGAAGAAGGACTTCGAGGACAGCCAGACAATATCGGTATAAGGAACGAGATTGGTTTGCAGTCGAGAGTCGAGAACATATGCTGCCGCTTCGGAGACATAGGATAGGTTGGGAATGAGACAAGCTCGACCGAAGAAGCATGGGAACAGGTTGCGGTGGATCCATTTGGTCCATTTCGGGTTGCGAGATGCATAGGGTTCTTCATCCTTGGGCTTGAAGACTCCCACCACCTTACCCTCGCTGTTCCGCGCGAAATAACTACCCGAACTGCCCTGGGAGATCATTCGGGGATGGACCCCCATCTCAATGGCGATCCGGACACTCTCCACCACCTCTTCGAACTCCTCTCGAGCTCTCCGCGCAGCACCTTCGACCTCGTCTGACTCGAGAACCTCCGCAGTGACAGGCCGAACCCCATCGGGCGCCTGGAAGACTGAGTGGTAGATCTCTAGCTTCTCCTCCTCGAGTGTCTTTCCCTTGACTCGATTGATCTTGAACTTGGAAGCGAATTCTTCGGCCCACCGCTCGAGGCGCGCATTGATGGCTTTAATGTCAACCCCCGAGTTCCTCCGTCCCCGTCGGTGATACTGCCCACTCAGCCTCCGTCGCGGTTCGGGGGGCGAGGCCAGGCCGGTTCGTGCGGAGATCGGTGCATATCGTGGTGCGGATTGGGAGATGGTGTGGGAGTCGTGTTGGAGGTCGTCATCGTCTGAGTATTCATATGGATCGTGGGCTCGGTCTTCTTCTTCCTGCGCCAAGCGGGCATACCCCGAAGTTGCGGGTCGATTCTTGGGCATGGTGGCAGGGCGACTGGTCTAGGACTGCAAGGGCCGGGAGGCAACCAACATTCAGTTCATATGAGAGGGAGCACGAAGGGAAGGAATTAAGGAATGGGGCATAAAATGAATGAAAGAGAAAGGGAACAATTGATACGATGGGTTTAGCCAGAAAGAGACTCAAGGCATCACTGACGACCGACAGCAACAGAAACGCAAATGAAACTCGGCGGGTGGAGGGTGGAGGGTGGAGGTTAAGTTAGTTGAGTAAAGTAAGTAGGACTGGACTAGGTGGAGGAGACGGAGCGGGCGAGGGACTTGCAGTGGTGGACGTTCACGCTGTCATCTTCTGCTGTTCCGATACGGCTGTGGCTTGCCTTGTCTGTTTGATCTGGCAGAACTGTATTGATACCATCTCCGGTGCCTCAGCGCTGTGTTTTAATTAGACCATGAACCGGTCAGGGTCCTGTGCCGCCACATGTCTGACGATACGATACGACACCGCCACGGCAGCTCCTCCGAAAGCGCGGGCTCCACCCAAGCTTGATGAACATCGACAAAACCCCTGAATGATCCATGATGAGCAGAAGAGACGAGGGCCTAGAAGTCTTGGGCAATCATTACAATTGCTGTGAGCCATACATGTTCAATCCACGTGGTGAAGCAGAGACTCTCAATTACAACTGTCAAGCAGAGAACGGAGGCCCAGTCTTACTCAGTACCTTAGGACTAACTTATACTCCATACAAATACGTACTCGGTAATAGCCACAGCTCCATTGATCGATGGCTGTCTCGGCGAGCAAACGGTTGGTCATCGTGGCCGATTAGTTGTTCGACCCCGTGCGGGAAACCGGTTTCACTCGAGCCCCAATTCCAAGAAGAAGCGATCGATCTTAGGGTACTCGGTACATAACCCCTAAAAGCTTCCCTTTCCGATTAAAGAACCGAAGGACCAGATGGAACCAAATGAGTACTAAGTATCAAAGGGGCATGCAGGGGCACGGCAACAACATTGCCAGGACTCATTCCGGGTCTAGTACCGAGTAACTTGGTTAATCGATAATCGTTTCTACTGTACTCCGTAGATAAGGGAGGAGACATGCAGACAACAACCATGTCGGAGAGAACAAATCAATTGTTCGCGGTGGGTAGTATTGTCTGCAGTGTACTGTGTACTTTTGTCTCATTTAGTACGGGCATGTACGGAGTATACTCAAGTATATAGTTAGTTATAACTTCACTTCGATGACGGCACCACCTACCAGCCAAAACAAGAAAAGAAAAACGCTGATGGTCCGTAGTAGCCAAATAACTGAGTTCACGGGTCCAGCCCCAGCCGCCGTAAAAGGGCATGGAACAATCGATAAGTTCAAGGTTCCCTAATAGTAACTGTAGTCTCTCCGGCCCAGCCTGCGCGCGCGATAAGTTAATCAATCAATCTCGTTCCACCCCCGACCACCCCGTCACGCTTCCTCCAATCTCACCTTCAAGGTTCAAGGTTCACCACTCCTCCTCCTCTTCGCGTTTTCCCCGGATGACCACTTTGCAGGCCTCTCAGGCAATTCAATTGATGGTATCTTCAACGCCTTGTTCTCTGCTCTGTCATTCATTTCACTTGTTCGTCGGGTCGAGTCTCTTCGTCTTGTCTTACGGACAGCCTCGCTGAGATCCTTCGCTCCTTATCCGTTATATCTGCCTTGTCCTTTGCCAGTCCAACTCGGTTGCGGTAAAAACCCAGAACACGCGGGAAGAATAGATTCTCACATCGTTCCTTGAACGCTTGCATTTGGCTCGTGGGAAATCGCAGGAAGACATTCCAGATCAATCCTCCCTTTTTTTCCGTGGCTGGTCCTCTTCCCGAGCAGCGCGAACCTTCCCTCCTCCATACAACCCTCCTCGGAGTTCTCGACGCGAAACAGCTTATATTGATTCTTCAATTCGGTCAATTGAGGCCGGATTTATAGTCAATCCTCAACGACATCCTCCACGGTGGCTTCACTCCTATTCCGGGCGTCGCCCATCGACCCAGCCCTCCGACCCCCATCGCCGTCCAATCTCCAGTCCCACGAACCCGCTTACAATCCAGGCTCGTCCTCCGGGGAGAGTCAATTGGATTCGCGTCAATCCACAACTGATACTGTGACTGGAGCCTCGTCCGCATCCTCGCAGTACTCGGGAGCCATTCCGGAACTCAGCTCGCTGGACAAATTCACCCATAGTCCCGGCAGTAGCAGCAGTAACGGCAGCGCGTTCCCCAGCTCGCTCGGTCCCTCTTTGCCTGGGTTGTCAGCTCTGGCCTCGGTCGCATCGGCGCCCACTTCCAATCTGCGGTACGTATTCTTGCAGCCTCTCCTCGCCGGGTGAAATTATGAAGATATTGGTTTGTGGGACAAGTCCGTGGCGGTTGTTTGATAACTACGGGTGGAGGCCATCGCCTTGATCGCGTGGTAAGCACGGTCTATACTGACGAATCTTACGTGTCCAGAGCGTCGAGTAGCAATGCAAATCACGGAATGGCCAATATGACCTACGCGACATCATCCCCAGCGGCCACCACTGGTGGACAAGGCAATAATCCTGTAAGTAATAAGTTGGATGGATGGAGCTTTTGGGGCTTATCGCAACGGGGGGGGAGGGAAGTCCTTATCTACGGACTACTACTCTAGTAGTGGCAGCTGAGGAATTTTTTCCCCTTTTGACCTTTTGAGCCGGAATCCCCTCGTTTCTTTTTCGCACCCAATCTTTTGCTGTTATCAGCAGCCGCTGGGGTCTTGGCGCCGCACCACCAATGCCTTATCGCTCCCACCCATCAAATCTCTCCCGATCTTATCAACCCAGCGCTCTTCCTCACTCCATCCACTATCAGCGCCGTCTCCTCATCTTCCCCATCCTCTGCCTTCCTCTACCGCCCCGTTTGCTGCTGAAAAGACCATGGCGACCACGTTGGCTGATCAAAAACGTCCTCAATTACAGCCCGTGTGCCAGAATTGCGGCACCTCCACCACCCCCCTCTGGCGCCGTGACGAACTCGGCTCCGTGCTCTGCAACGCCTGTGGTCTATTCTTGAAACTACATGGGAGGCCTCGTCCGATAAGCCTAAAGACCGATGTGATCAAAAGTCGCAACCGCGTCAAGACCGCCGGTCAGGGTACCAAGCGCAAGGTGAGTCCTCGACTCGAAAATTTTTCTTATCCGTGACGTCTCTTCCCAGTACCCGGTTGCTAACCCTTCTTGTCTATCTTCCTCCACAGTCGGGCGGTACCATCGATACCAATGGCCTCTCTGCCTCCCGATCCGAAGCAGGGACTCCGCCTCTGGGATCGCATGGCAATCGTCGCGCGTCGCGAAAGACGTCTCCGGGCCACTCCGACCGATCCAACTCGCCGGTGCCGCGCACGGAAACGCCTGGTCTCCCTCAGGTGCAACAACAACACACCCAATCGCTGCACAACTCCAATATCGCACCGCAACACATGTTTGACAGTGTGACCATTGGTGACCATGGCATGAATCCGCCCAATTCAATGCCGTCGGTGCAGCTGCGCCAGCCTTCCCCGACCTCGACGTCCGCGGCTGGCGACCGTCACCCCGAGTCTCCTCAGACTTATGAAGGTCTCTTGGCGGCGAATACATCCCTGAAGACGCGCGTGAGCGAATTGGAGTTTATCAACGAACTCTTCCGCGGTCGTGTCGCGGAGCTCGAGCGAAGCGATGCGACGGCTCGCCGGTCCGAAATGATTGTGCGCGACTCGGAAGTCCGGCTGCGACGGTCTCTGGAAGAGGCCCAGCGACGCGAGGACGATCTCAAACAGCGGGTTGCCGACCTTGAGCGGCAGCTAGCTGACAAGAGTACTCCCAACAACATCACGAACAGCGACAGTCCGGGTGAACCTCTAGCCAAGAGAATGCGATTGTCAGACGTGGTCGAGCAACCAGCCGAGTCTCCGACCAAATCGCCCAAGAGCGTCTAACCCAGGAAGGAAGGCTCAGTATGTTGGACGAAAGCGTCCGCGTTGTTGATCCCAGCGTGTATTCGCGCGTTGCTGAGATCTCTGATCTGATCTTCCTTGGTCTTTTTGATACCCTTTACGAGTCTTGTCATTGGCTGGTTGTATATCGGATGAACTAATTGTACCCTTCTCCTTGGATCGAATCTTTTTATATTTATTCTCTTTCTACCACCCCCCTACACAATCTCTCTCTTTCTGCTTTATTCTTAATTCCGATATGGGACGGGGAAAGATCGGTTGGTCGGCAATCATCAGCACATCGCACGCGGTCTGGAATCTGCAAGGCAAACCACAAAACAGGACAAGCGAGACAAAGTTTTGCCACGATACAAAAAAAGGAGAATGGGTTGACCCTGTAAAATGACCCGGGGCATCTTTCTCGATGTTCAGTACTTCGATGTTTATCTTATATTCCCTGCAATCACAATGTGCTTTTCCCATTCGACCATATGACATGTTAATCATGCGACTGTTTGCTGTCCGGTCCTGCTATGTTCTTTCCGCCGCGACGAGTATCACTTGATTGAAACAATCTATTTGGAGTGTCCCCGCGTACACAATCCTTCCTCGACACTCGTAATCAAGACAGTTCCCTGCAGCCAGGACGTACACTTTGTTTCTGTTTGCTCACTGAGCGGGCACCAGCAGCCTCGGTCATTCCCACCTCCGGTTCCTCAATGATCTCGCATCTTATACTGTACGAGCATGATCATCTGCGTCTGTTACACGTTCTGAGAGGCATATGGCTCGAATCCCTACCAATCAGTAAAGACCCGTTTTCGTCATACCTTCTACCGTCCAGAGGTATACACGCTGATATCATGCAGTCTTGGCCTCGATATCCTCATCGAAATGGGATAGCATCATATGAAAGCGGGGATCATGAACCAGGCCTTCCGTGGGATCTGTGTGCCAATGAAATGTACCGATGGTGTCTTTCCTTGACTATGATATACCAGTCATGTCCCCTTAACCCTATACCCCCCCCATTGCTTGCTCTTGTCTTTTATTCCTACCTACTGAACAGCTTCATACAGGACAACGGCCTGAACAACATGGAACTCAGCATAATAGGGACAATCCTGCTCGACCTCTCCCTCGTGGGACTCGTCTACGCCGCCGCACTCATCTTCTACCGCCTGTATCTCAGCCCATTAGCACGCTTCCCCGGCCCGCGTCTCGCCGCAGCCACCGGCCTGTACGAAGTGTACTATCAACTCGTCAAGGGCGGCATCTTCACCTGGCAAATCAACCGGCTGCACGACCAGTACGGCCCGATCATCCGCATCAAGCCGGACGAGCTGCACATCCGGGACCCGGACTACTACGCGACGCTGTACTCGGGCCCGGGCACGCACCGCAACAAGGAAGCCGGCTTCAGCTTCATCGCCTTCCCGCAGTCCATTTTCTCGACGGAGGACCACGCCCTGCACCGCGACCGCCGCCGGGTGCTGGGCCAGTTCTTCAAGAAAAATGCGATCCTGCGGCTCGAGCCGGCGATCCGCGCCAACATCGCGCTGCTGGAGAAGCACTTCGCGGCCCTGGTCGACACGCAGGGCTGTCTGGAGCTGCACACGGCGTTCCAGTGCTTCACCTCGGACACGCTCTCGCAGTACTGCTTCGGCCGCCAGCAGGGGTTCCACTACCTCGAACAGCCGGAGCTGTCCAACACGTGGAAGCTGCGCATCAACTGGATGTTCGAGTTCTGTCGCGTGAACCGCCATCTGCCGTTCTTGGTCGTGTTGGCGCGGCGGTGGCCCGCCATGGCGGAGCGGTTCTGTCCGCCGTTTGCGCATATCATGGGCATGGAGCAGGTGAGTCTTATGGGGTGGGGGTGTATAGCACAAGCCCCTGTGATCAAACAAGATTGACGAACGTCAGGACGTGAGAAGCTTCGTACGCCACGCAATCCACCAACACCAAACCCAAACCTCGACCCTCTCTCCTTCGAAAACAGACAGCCCCAAAGACCCAACACCCCCAATCTACACCAGCATCCTCGCCGACCCCTCCGTGCCCGCCAGCGAAAAGGACTCGCCCCGTCTCGAAGACGACGCCATCTTCCTCATGATGGCCGGCACCGACGCCCCCTCCCAAGCCCTAGCCATCACCATGTTCCACATCCTCGACAACCCATCCGTTCACGAGAGACTCAAAGCCGAGTTACTCGCCAACATCCCCGACGTGCGCTGCATCCCTGCGTTGGAGAGCCTGGAACAAATGCCCTTCCTTGTAACCCATCCCCC